TAGGCTAGTTCTCTGCTGTTCCTCTGCTCCATCTGGCTACATTGGTGTGGGAACCCTGGAGTTTGTTGGCTGGTTTTGATCATCAGGCTGTCATGCGCTTAATAAATGTGCCTTTTACAAGCTATTGAAATGTGAGTGGCCTGGATTCCTTTCGTTATGGTATTAGATTGATCTGGCAATATTACACTATGTAAGTTTTTCTCTTTGATGAAACGGTGGAGCAAACTAGGAAGCCACGCTGAGGACCTGAAAGAGGATCTTATCTTGGAGAGGCTATCATTAAGCTGATGAAAAGAGGGTATAGGATTCCCCATAAAATCCTTAAAGGCTTTTCATTCACCAAAATCTGGTGAGTGCATTTGATTTTGGTGTGTACGGGTGAAAGGTGGAAGGCTAGAAAAATTATTTGGAGTTCATATTTTTCACCACAAGGGACTTTTATGGTGTCCTTTTCTTGAAAATTTTTTCTGATACAGATATGCACTAATTGATATGGGACATTTATATTTTGTGAATTATTAATACTTGATTTTAGGTCTATTTTGCGGTGTTTATTTATATATTTCATTGTTTGTGTATTCACATTTTTGCACAGCAGCAATTTCCATGGGTGATTCACTTAATTTGTATTTGGCGCAGAAATATCTTTCTTTTATATTATCCTGTATGCTTTCTAAATTTAAAGTAAGGAAAAAAACAAACGGCAGTATATGTTGTGTGCTTTCATGGTGTTGCCTTTTCTGTCTTACACTTAGGTTATGTCATCTTCTCAATGTCTGCTGTGTAAGTAGACTAGACCATTGGTGTGTTTAGCCTTTACTGAAATGATGTTCTACAGCGGTGTACTCTAGCAGAGACAAAGGAATGTATTCAAATAACTCATACTTAGGCCTTGGGGTTTTTCTGATTCCTGGCATTCTGTCTTAAAGGAAAAATATCATGTGTTTTCAGTGAGTAAGCATTTTGAATCATCGATGTAAGAAATGTCAAATATCACTAGATAACTATTTTAGAAGTGTTTCCTTCTGTGCTTTCATGATGGTTTCATATCTAAATCGGAAAATTCTCCCCCTGGTGGCTATTTATAGAACAGCGATGTAGCAAGCGCAACTGCTGAGAATACAGGAGCAGATACCACCAAACTGCATTATTTTCATCCATCGGAGCAGGATGATAGATTTAGCCTAGGGCTACACTGGCAATGAAAGCTCTTTGTAACTGAGAAAATAACTGCTTGATGACAGTTATGTCATTAGCATCAAATTGATTTTGGTGAGCTGCAAATGTGATGAGTGCCAAAACTTTTAGTAGCAAAGGGATTTAATCCCCCATGGGGCCCTAGCCTTATATTGAGAGAGGACAGCAATAATCAATCACTGCACTGCATTACTAAAGGAGTGTAACAAGTGTATTGAGAAAACACGACTGCCCAATGTGTATATACTTCTACCTACTATATGTTTTGAAAACATTACACAAGGGTATAAATATATACTTTAACCATTTGCCCTCCAGAGGATTTACCCCCCTTCCTGACCAGGCCATTTTTTGTGCTACTTTAACTGACAATTGCGCAGTCATGAAACGCTGCACCCAAATTAAATTTACATTCTTTTTTCCCACAAATGGAGCTTTCTTTTGGTGGTATTTGATCGCCTCTGTGGTTTTTACTTTTCGCTATAAAACATATCCAGTAAAACATTTTAAAAAGCAAATTTCGTAATAAATTTAGGCCAAAATGCATTCTGCTAAATGTCTTTGCTAAAAAAAAATCCCAATACGTGTAAATGAATTAATTTACGTGAAAGTTATAGCGTCTACAAATGGTGATATATATACTGGAATATTTTTTTTGTATACTAGTAATGGTGGTGATCAGCGACTTATTGCGGGGCTGCAGCGGGCATTCTGACACTGGGGGGGGAGCTGACTAACTGCCACTGACATCCCCAGTGACACTAATACAGTGATCAGTGCTAATAAAAAGCACTGACGCTGTACTAATGACATTGGGCAGGAAGGGGTTAACATCTGGGGTGATCAAAGGGTTAACTGTGTGCGTTTCACATGATGTGCTGTGTGCTGTATTACTATGTAAGCATGCTGCTTTGTCTTTCAATACAAAGCAGCAAGCTGGTGCGAACAGGGGAGAGATCTGTGTTGTTTACATACAGACCTCTCCCCTGTCAGTGTTCCTTGGCAATCACCAGGTGCCACCAGGGAATCTCCGGCCGGGGCCCAGTGATCGACAGCTGTATTCGATCACTGGGCCCCGGCCGGAAATACTGTACCCCCTACCTGGAAATACAAAATCATGTATATATACGTGATTTTGTGCAGCCCTGTAGCAGTAATTTTGCTCTAGGACAGTCGGGAAGTGGTTAAAGATGAATTCCAGGTATGGCAATTTTACATAGTTACTGTACATTAGTCCAGCTTGGACAATTGTAAATATGTATATGCCATACCGGCGGGATTCCCGTGGAAGCAAGAAGTCACTCTAGTAGGCACTGCTACTACAGTGAGCTCCTTTAGTCTATGGGTCCCATGTTGACCTGCTGCCCTGCTACAGAACAGGTCTTTCAATCTGCACAGGCGCCATTCATAGAACACTTTGCATTTTTGAAACAAGTGCAAAGTGTTCCCTGATTGGACAAGGTGGAGATTGTGATGTCCCTGCTCTGCCTCTCCACCTTGTCTAATCAGAGAACACTTTGAATTCATTGAGAAAATGCAGTGTTCCCTGAATGGTGTCCATGGGTGTTCACACCCATGTGATCCGATTCACCCAATCGCACTGAGTTCTTCAAACATTTTGGGGTGTTATTAACTTAAAGTATTACTAAACCCAGGACCCTGCATTCACTATATCTGGCCTCCCACAGTACACACAACATGGAAATGCAATTTGTTTAGTAAATACAACATGCTAAACACCTTTTCTCATCAGCAGTTAGAGCAGTCTTGGGACTTCCATCAGTTTCCAGCAGGGCACATGTTAAAGCTTGTATGAGAAGTTTTTGTTCTGCTCTAGGAGGATGCAAAACCGCCGACCTCTGTCTGGAGAGTGCTGATTGGCTCTGTGCTGATCAAATGCACTCTCTCAAGAAAAAAAAAACTCCCTAGCAATACACACTAAACTGAGCATGTGCAGAGTGTTTCCACACAATATGTCTTATCAGGAGATAAGAGGGGGGCACTGGAAGAAGGGGAGGATAAGAGAAGGTAGGTTCAAACAGCATTTTTAAACAATGCAGAGGATTAACCCCTTAGGTTCCACAGTGAGTAAAACATGCATGCTCTACTGCATATACAGACTGATTTTACTGTTGTGGGTTTAGTAAAATTTTAACATAGAAGCCCGCAGTGGCTCGCATGAACACAGTGCAATTCTGATGTATGGAAGAAAGATTGCAACGTACAGGTACATCACCCAGCCTGGAGTTGCCGCCCACTCGCAGTACAACTACTGTGGGCGAATGGCAATTGAAGTGTTACTAAACCCACAACAGTAAAATCTGTCTGTATATGCAGTAAATCATGCTTCTTATACTCACTGGGGAACCTAATTCATCCTTTGCACTGTGCAAAAACACTGTTTGACCCTGTCTTCTCTGATCCTCTCCTTCCAGTGCCCCTCTCTTATCTTTTGATAAGATATATTGTGTGGAGTCACTCTGCACATGCTCAGTTTGGTGTGTATTGCTAGAGAAGTTTTTTTTTCTTGGAAGAGTGCATGTGATCACCACAGGGCCAATCAGCACTGTCCAGACAGAGGTCAGGGGTTCTGCATCCTCCTAGAGCAGAAAGAAAACTCTTCCTACAAGCTTTAACCAGTGCTCTGTTGGACACTGATAGAAGTCACAAGACCGCTCTAACTGCTGATGAGAAAAGGTATTTAGCAGTTTATTTTTACCAAAATAATTGCACTTCCATGTTCTATGTACTGTGGGAGACCAGATATAGTGAATACAGGGTCATAGGGTTAGTAACACTTTAACTTCGGCAACTCCAACTTCCTCACGTTAGTCTTGAGGCACCCAAATGACAGACACATTCTTCTCACACAACGATCATACTTTCATAATTTCATTCAATTTCACAATGCTGTCTGTTAGAGAAAACATTTCCTTTCCCCTTGTTATTAAGCAAGGGATTTATTTAAGGGTGGATCGGAAACGCAATAATGCTGATTTGTGCAGAGCTATGCATCTTATCTATAATTACAGAGGGATTTGGGTCCCAAAACAGGGCCGTTGGGAGCTGTGTAATGAAAATCACACTCGATACATGCGTTTCATTTCTAGGTGACATACTCTGACATCAGAATATCTGTGTTCTTGTAGCACACACTAGTAGCAGATCCTGCTTTTATCCAATGAAATGTGAGAAGCTGTGGCAGGCAGCAGTGAAGGGGTTACAGCGGACTACGGGATTGAAATGAAAGAGATAAAAACAAGACCAGTCTAATATTAGGTGTCACGCATCTCAGCTGCTTGCACGGAAGTCATCATTTCCATAACGCCGTCTTGGGAACTGGGCTATTGTTTCGTGCCAAGCCTCGGCGAAGAATTAGTACTTCTGCTAATTGATCATATCTCACATAACAAGTTCTACATGCTCTGTCTTATTAATGTACGGAGCACTGGAAAATGTACTTTGCTTTACTGCTGTGTGAAATCTATCATGTATGTAAAGGAAAACACTAGGCCTGACAACATATGGCTTCTTTCACACAGGCGGTAAGCTTACTTCCCTGTGAAAAGCAATCCATGATGGATTGCTGTTCAGAAGGCGGTATAGCAGGTGCTGATAGGCATTCAGGAGGTGCTACTGACACATTGTGACGCCTGTTTTGTTTTTTTTTATATTGTGTGATCTTGATTTCAATATCCATGGATCTCAATGGCCAAGTTTGATAGGCAATGCCACATGTCAAACTCTGTAGCCCGAGTTAAAAATGCATTGGACTTATAGTATGTGTACAGCCCTGTCAGGCTGTAACCTCCCTGGAGGTATTCCCGAGTGTAGCTCGGGGTAAAGTTTCAGTACCGCAAGCGGTAACCCCGAGCTACACTCAGGCTTACCATGCGGCGCTGCTCCCGGATCTGTTCTTCTCTTACCTTGTCCTGCGCTCCCGCAATGTCCCTCCTGCAGTGTCCCCAGCAATGTAATCCCCGGCATCTGTCATATGGGTTCCATCCCCTGCGAGCATCGGGACGTACGGGGGATGGAACGGCGGGAAATTTGAAAATGACAAAAAGTGACATTCATTAAAATCACTAAAATCACATAGTATTCCATTACTGTATCAAACCATTTCACATACATGTTGTCCCGAGTGCTTTGTCCTGTGCCCTGCCTGCATTTTTACTGTTCTTTCTGCCTGGAAACTGAGAAACGTCCATGGCGTCCAAAAAGCGTCCCTTTAGACCAGCTAGAGAACAGCGATAGTAAATCAGAACCACTTGCAGAATTGAGTGATAATGATTTGTGGGGAAATTCGTCATCAGACACTGAAAACGATTTTGAGACTTTGCTCAGTGATGTGCGAACGTGGCGCTATATTTCAAATTTCAGTGTTTTTGGTTTGATTATATTATTGAATTCAATTTATTATTATTATATTATTATTTTTTATGATTATTTATTAAATTATAATTTATGATTACGTGTTTCAAATTTTATCATACCCGGAATGTTTACTAGACTCGGACAGATTTCAGTGAGTTATTCCTAAAAATTACAGGCCTACAATAAAAAAAATACATATTTCCATGCAAAAACATGTACTGCTTTGAGCACAGAAATATGGACATAATCAGACCGCTAGGGAGGTTAATGTTAGAATTTGTGTCGGTGACTACTGGTGGTAAAAGCTGTGGTTCGGCTCCCTGTTTTTACCACCCTTCTATGCACCCATATTAAGGAACCCTAAGGTCTTTGTGCTATTTATGTTATGAGAGGCACATGATGAAATGTATGCAATGTCCCTGCAGCTTCCCTCCTTCTGTAAGTCAGCCAGCATACTATCCTGATTGGACACAGAGACGTGCTGCTCCAGCTACCGGCAAGCTTGTAACACCTGTGTGCAAAGGGCTCAGAGCTATTCACATTTGGCTAGTGCAGTAATATAAGAACCTTAAGGGGGGGGGGGGGTTAACAAAGGGAAAAATTTCCTTTTTTTTTTTTTAGCTTAAGCCTGGGTTCAAACTGATGTGGTCTGCAATTCGCAGCATTTTCTGTGCGGATTCCGCACCACATCAGAAACGCACCCCGTTCATGCGAACCACTGCGAGTGTGTATGTTAACAACACCCCGAAATCGATGCACAAAACGCTGTGTGATGTGCAGAATCGGATTGCAGAGGTGTGAATACCCATGCGATCCGATTCTAGTGCGGACCAAAAAAAGGGTCCTGCACCTTTTTGGTGCGAGTGTGGTGCGATTAAAGCCATACAGAATGTATGGCTCCAATCGCACCGCACACAAATCGCATGTGATTTGCACAGGAATGCGGTGCGGTTCCTGTGCGAATCACATATGATATACCGCACCGCATATATGTGAACCCAGGATAAAGCAGTATTAAACACAAAACCAGAAATGTCATATATTGCAACTTACCAGTAATCAGATGGGGTGGCTGCAGACTTTTTTTTTCTTCTTTGGCTTTTTTGCTTCTGTTTACCTGGTGATCTGGCCAGTAACACACCTCCAGTATTAGTGAGACACTACTCTACTGGGGAAGTGTTAAATTACTTAGTGTACTTAAATTAGCAGAGATAAATACACTAACTGGTTGAAGCCATACTCCAGTTCACACTTTATAATCAGTTACAGCAAACATATTTTTTTCCTTTTGGTATAAAGGTTTTACATTAAAGCAGAGCTTCACCCAAAAGGGAAGTTCCGCTTTAAGGACTGCTCCCCATTAAGGATTGGCACCTTTGGGGGGGCGCGGGGGGAGCGGGTACCCAAATTTGACAGGTACCCGCTCCCACTTCCGGTCCGATTGCCTAGGTGATTGGAAGTGGAAGTTGTCCTCCCTACCTCCCTGTAGTCTTTTGGGACATGTAACAGGTCCCAGAAGACTACAGGACCATTCATGAAGCGCTGCTCTACTCGCACATGCACAGTAGGTACCCGGCTGTGAAGCCGCAAGCTGTCACAGCTGGGTGCCCACACTGTAGATGCTGGCCTCCTGGAATACAGGACGGCCAGTGAAACGGGCTGCGGGGGACACACACACCGCTGGACCGAGGGACAGGTAAGTGGCTGTTTTTTAAAAGTCAGCAGCTACAGTTTTTGTAGCTGCTGACTTTTATTTTTTGACCGGTGAGTGGAACTCCGCTTTAATAAATAAAAGCTGATCATTTTTACACCCCCCTGTCAGTGTTAAATGGTTTGTCTCATCACTGTAAACATACATTTTGCTGGAAAGCTTTAAAAAACAACAAACTTGCTGGCTGATGAAAGTAAAAAAAGAAAGCCTTAAAAAGAAAACAAATGCAGAAGTCACAGCTAAGAATCAGTAAGCTGCAATAGAATAAATATTGGCTTTTGGGTTTATTACTGCTTTAAATATTAGCATTTTTGTATGGCAAATTAATAACAGTGGCTAAATGGTTAGCACTTCCACCTGGCAGTACTAAGGTCGTTGGTTTGAATCCCAACCACGGCACAACCTGCCTGGAGTTTGCATGTTCTCCCTGTGCCTATGTGGGTTTCCTCCGGGTACTCCGGTTTCCTCCCACACTCCAAAAACATTGATGGCAATATATATAAGTACCTGAAATAAATAAATAAAATAAAATAATAATGCCTTTACACCAGTTCCATGTGTTGTTGCACCCGCACCACCCTCATTTTCAAAAGTGATATGTGACATGTTTCTATCAAAGTCTGATAGCGGGTGGCAAATAATCAAGTACTTCTGCCAGTTTTCCAAGTTAAAAATTGCAAAATAGTGTACACCATTACTACAGTGACATAAATACTGTAGTGGGGAGTGGCAGACAGCGAGGAGGGATAAGAGAGGTGGATGTGTATTGGAAGGACCTCACATCACTATCAAGCAACAAACTAACAAATTATTGCATGACACCTTTTTTTTTTTAACATTTTTTTTTTTTTTTTTTTTTTTTTTTTTTTTTTTTTTTTTTTTTTTTTTTTTTTTTTTTTTTTTTTTTTTTTTTTTTTTTTTTTTTTTTTTTTTTTTTTTTTTTTTTTTTTTTTTTTTTTTTTTTTTTTTTTTTTTTTTTTTTTTTTTTTTTTTTTTTTTTTTTTTTTTTTTTTTTTTTTTTTTTTTTTTTTTTTTTTTTTTTTTTTTTTTTTTTTTTTTTTTTTTTTTTTTTTTTTTTTTTTTTTTTTTTTTTTTTTTTTTTTTTTTTTTTTTTTTTTTTTTTTTTTTTTTTTTTTTTTTTTTTTTTTTTTTTTTTTTTTTTTTTTTTTTTTTTTTTTTTTTTTTTTTTTTTTTTTTTTTTTTTTTTTTTTTTTTTTTTTTTTTTTTTTTTTTTTTTTTTTTTTTTTTTTTTTTTTTTTTTTTTTTTTTTTTTTTTTTTTTTTTTTTTTTTTTTTTTTTTTTTTTTTTTTTTTTTTTTTTTTTTTTTTTTTTTTTTTTTTTTTTTTTTTTTTTTTTTTTTTTTTTTTTTTTTTTTTTTTTTTTTTTTTTTTTTTTTTTTTTTTTTTTTTTTTTTTTTTTTTTTTTTTTTTTTTTTTTTTTTTTTTTTTTTTTTTTTTTTTTTTTTTTTTTTTTTTTTTTTTTTTTTTTTTTTTTTTTTTTTTTTTTTTTTTTTTTTTTTTTTTTTTTTTTTTTTTTTTTTTTTTTTTTTTTTTTTTTTTTTTTTTTTTTTTTTTTTTTTTTTTTTTTTTTTTTTTTTTTTTTTTTTTTTTTTTTTTTTTTTTTTTTTTTTTTTTTTTTTTTTTTTTTTTTTTTTTTTTTTTTTTTTTTTTTTTTTTTTTTTTTTTTTTTTTTTTTTTTTTTTTTTTTTTTTTTTTTTTTTTTTTTTTTTTTTTTTTTTTTTTTTTTTTTTTTTTTTTTTTTTTTTTTTTTTTTTTTTTTTTTTTTTTTTTTTTTTTTTTTTTTTTTTTTTTTTTTTTTTTTTTTTTTTTTTTTTTTTTTTTTTTTTTTTTTTTTTTTTTTTTTTTTTTTTTTTTTTTTTTTTTTTTTTTTTTTTTTTTTTTTTTTTTTTTTTTTTTTTTTTTTTTTTTTTTTTTTTTTTTTTTTTTTTTTTTTTTTTTTTTTTTTTTTTTTTTTTTTTTTTTTTTTTTTTTTTTTTTTTTTTTTTTTTTTTTTTTTTTTTTTTTTTTTTTTTTTTTTTTTTTTTTTTTTTTTTTTTTTTTTTTTTTTTTTTTTTTTTTTTTTTTTTTTTTTTTTTTTTTTTTTTTTTTTTTTTTTTTTTTTTTTTTTTTTTTTTTTTTTTTTTTTTTTTTTTTTTTTTTTTTTTTTTTTTTTTTTTTTTTTTTTTTTTTTTTTTTTTTTTTTTTTTTTTTTTTTTTTTTTTTTTTTTTTTTTTTTTTTTTTTTTTTTTTTTTTTTTTTTTTTTTTTTTTTTTTTTTTTTTTTTTTTTTTTTTTTTTTTTTTTTTTTTTTTTTTTTTTTTTTTTTTTTTTTTTTTTTTTTTTTTTTTTTTTTTTTTTTTTTTTTTTTTTTTTTTTTTTTTTTTTTTTTTTTTTTTTTTTTTTTTTTTTTTTTTTTTTTTTTTTTTTTTTTTTTTTTTTTTTTTTTTTTTTTTTTTTTTTTTTTTTTTTTTTTTTTTTTTTTTTTTTTTTTTTTTTTTTTTTTTTTTTTTTTTTTTTTTTTTTTTTTTTTTTTTTTTTTTTTTTTTTTTTTTTTTTTTTTTTTTTTTTTTTTTTTTTTTTTTTTTTTTTTTTTTTTTTTTTTTTTTTTTTTTTTTTTTTTTTTTTTTTTTTTTTTTTTTTTTTTTTTTTTTTTTTTTTTTTTTTTTTTTTTTTTTTTTTTTTTTTTTTTTTTTTTTTTTTTTTTTTTTTTTTTTTTTTTTTTTTTTTTTTTTTTTTTTTTTTTTTTTTTTTTTTTTTTTTTTTTTTTTTTTTTTTTTTTTTTTTTTTTTTTTTTTTTTTTTTTTTTTTTTTTTTTTTTTTTTTTTTTTTTTTTTTTTTTTTTTTTTTTTTTTTTTTTTTTTTTTTTTTTTTTTTTTTTTTTTTTTTTTTTTTTTTTTTTTTTTTTTTTTTTTTTTTTTTTTTTTTTTTTTTTTTTTTTTTTTTTTTTTTTTTTTTTTTTTTTTTTTTTTTTTTTTTTTTTTTTTTTTTTTTTTTTTTTTTTTTTTTTTTTTTTTTTTTTTTTTTTTTTTTTTTTTTTTTTTTTTTTTT